CCATCCCATCCCATCCCATCCCATCCCTCTCCATCTCTGCTTTCAGTTCCTCCAATGCTCAGACCCATCCCACCATCTCCACCCCACAATGTTCCTCACCCAGAACCTTGCAGCAGCTCAACCCCAGGGGATGCTCAGATTTGGGTCAAGGGTGGGTTTTTCCCCAAAATGTCTCCTTCCTCCTTTTCTCTCCTTTGTCAAAAGCTTCTTCTGATGCAGAGGGTGATAGGAAATGCACCTTCTCCTTCGCTGCTCCCCCCAGGATCACCATGTTGTCCCATGTCCCACATCCAGGAGATGCTCTTGGGATGGGTTTGCATTGGCCATGGTGCATGCAATGAGCTGGCATCCATCATGGTGCACTCAATGGGTTTGCATCCACCATGGTGCTGGTGATGGGTTTGCATCCACCATGGTGCTGGTGATGGGTTTGCATCCACCATGGTGCTGGTGATGGGTTTGCATCCAATTTGGGGTTTTTCCACAAAATGTCTCCTTCCTCCTTTTCTCTCCTTTGTCAAAAGCTTCTTCTGATGCAGAGGGTGATAGGAAATGCACCTTCTCCTTCGCTGCTCCCCCCAGGATCACCATGTTGTCCCATGTCCCACATCCAGGAGATGCTCTTGGGATGGGTTTGCATTGGCCATGGTGCATGCAATGAGCTGGCATCCATCATGGTGCACTCAATGGGTTTGCATCCACCATGGTGCTGGTGATGGGTTTGCATCCACCATGGTGCTGATGATGGGTTTCCATCCATCATGGTGCTGGTGATGGGTTTCCATCCATCGTGGTGGATGTGATGAGTTTGCATCCATCACGTTGCTGATGATGGGTTTCCATCCACCATGGTGGACATGATGAGTTTGCATCCATCATGGTGCACTCAACGGGTTTGCACCCATCATGGTGGTGGTGGGTTGTTGGTTGGACTTGATGACCTTAGAGGTTTTTTCCAACCTTACTGATTCTATGATTCTATGTCCCTTGTGATGGGACCCCATGGTCCATGTGCCAGTTTTACACCCACCACATCACTTGTGATGGCTTCACCTCTGCTGCATCACCCACACCAGAACCTGGGAGCAGCCAGTGCTGAGCTCTGCTCTTTCCTTCTCCTGCAGGTGCTGAGCAGACCCAGTGCAGGGACTGGGAGCTGTGGACCTCTGGAACGTGGGACACCAAGATGCCCACCTGGAGAGGAGCCCACTGGGGTAAGCCATGCCCACCCGTGTCACACCCACCATGGTGGGACAGTGCAGGACCTGCCCATGGCTGATCCACCATCACCTCCCTTCCCTCCACGCAGGCGTGTGGCTCGGCGCAGGATCCGGTGGGAACGTGCCGAGCTTGTCCCCCCGGCACCTTCTCACCAGGGAACATGTCCTGCTCCTCTCACACCCATTGCAGGACCAGGAACAGGATCCTGGTGGCACCGGGGACAGCGGTGACCGACAGCCGCTGTGGAACGTGTCTGCTGGGGTGAGGTCAGGTTTGGGGTGATGCCACTGATGTCACTTGTGGGTCCAATCCTGACCCTTCTCTCCCACCCCACAGGTTTTACAGCCCTGGAGGAGAGAGGGAACCCCAGGGTCGGTGTCTGCCCTGCGCCATCGCTCCCCTCAGCACCCCGGGGTGTCCAGGTGGGTGTTCAGGCCACCACTTTGTGGGTGTTGGATGAAGTTGTGTTGGTGTTCACCTCAGGAACACCCGCAGGATGTGTCCCCTTTGAGAAGAGGTGTGACGTCCTGCTGGGATGTGACAGCTGAGAACATCTCCACTCATGACACGAGTGGCTTCTGCTTCCCTAGGAGGTCAACCCTGTAGTGGGGACACCTGGAAAAATGGGATTTCATCCCAACAAAACCCATCTTTGGTGCCTTCTCCCAGGCCAGCGACGAAGAACCCGTAGCCCTGAAACACTGGACCAGCCGGTGGGGACCAACGGGACATGGGTGACCCTGATGGGTGAGGAAGAGGAGGATGAGGCAGCAGCAGCCGTGTTGACCATCGTCCCGGTCTTCTGCGCCATGGGATTGTTGGGCATCCTGGTCTGCAACCTGCTGAAGAAGAAGGGTTACCACTGCACCACCAGCAAGGACCTCCAGCCCGGTGGCACCGGTGAGTCCTTGTTGTGCCATGACCACCTTTCAGTGATCACCCATCCATCCTACATCCATCCCATCTCGCTCAGCCCATCTCCATGGCTTCTGGTCTTCATTGTCCCACAGTATCCTGCTCATCCTTGGTGGGATTCATCTCCCCCATCACTGAGTTTCCCCCCCACCAACTTCTAACCTCCAGGTCCCAGCTCTATCTACCAGCTGGAGGATGCCAACGAGGACACCATTGGGGTGCTGGTGAGGTTGATCACTGAGAAGAAAGGTCAGGAGAGGTCCTTGGGTTTGGGGGTGACATGGGCTGAACCCCCTTGACCCCCCATATGGTCTTCTCACCCCCATAGAAAACGCTGCAGTACTGGAGGAGCTGCTGAAGGAGCATCACAGCCAACAGCTGATGCCACCACCAAGCTGCACCCCTCCAAAGAAGTAAGACCAACTCCTCCAAGGTGGCACCAAGGACCTCCCCAGTGGTGGGACCAACCCCATGCTGATGGCATCTCCCCCTTTATCCTAGGCTGCACCTCCTGCCTCAGTTTCCCCCCACCTGCCAACACCAACAGCACCTCCACACCGTGCAAGGTCCAGCCCCATGCGTTCGCTGCAGCCAGAAGAAGTGGCCCGAGGTGCTGCCATCACTCAATGCCACCAAGGTCCCCAAACCTGGTGGTCGCACCGGTGAGGTGACCATCTTCTCTATTGGCAGGTAAGGAGGGACCACCCTCACCCCACCACGTGTCACCCCTCTCCAAGGTGGGGACAGGCTGATGTGATCTTCTCCTTCTACCCCAACAGGTTTCGGGTGTCACGGATCCCTGAGATGAGGAGCGAGGTGGGGGGTGACCCCCTCTGTGGTCACCTCCCTGCTGAGAGCGGGATGAAGCCCCCATGGTTGAAAAGCACCGATGACCCCCCTGAGGTGAGGGTGAGGGGGGTGTGGAGAGAGGGTGGTGGGGTGTCCTTCCTGGGGTAAAACAGGGCTTCGGGAAGCTGGAGGAGAGAGCGTTCACTCTGAAGCCTAATGAAGGCATTTGGTGATTTGGGATGATAGAGCCACCAAATACCCTCAAGTCTCATCCAGCAGCTGGGAGGCTTTAAAAAACACTTTCAAAATGGAACCTGAAGGGGTTTGGTGAGTGGTTCCCCCCCCCCAACCCCCCAAATTTCCTCCCACTCGCCCCACATTTAAGGTGCTATAGGGGGTGCTGCTGGGTGCTCAGGGGTGGGTGTGGGTGCAAAGGGTGCTGGTGGCCCCTGGGATGTTCTGCAGCAACCAGAGCTTTATGTCCCTGTCCCCTATAGATCTGCACCCCTTATAAAAACACCTATGCAAATGTCCTTGCACCCTCTAGACAACTCATTTGCATATATTTGCATAGATATCCCTATTATATATACACCAAAGGGCTACGCCATGTGTGGGTGCACTTATATCCGTGCAAAACCAGGACACGCAGAGGGGACACGGGGTGGTGACACGCAGAGGGGACATGGGGTGGTGACACACAGAGGGGACACGGGGTGGTGAGATGCAGAGGGGACACGGGATGGGGACACGCAGAGGGGACACGGG